TTTTTTCAATAAAGTGCAGAAAGAAGCATTTTCACTAAATGGTTCATGTTTGAACATGTTTGTGTTTTGAAACAGCAAATGACAATGAGCATCAAGGAGTTAATGAATAGCTTACCCCCCACCCTCACACCCCTTTTCCCCTCAAAAAATTATTTTTATTTCCTACGCTGAAGCTGGCGGTTCTGATTTATTTGGTACACTGGGAGAATGTGTTTTTGACAATGTTCAAATGACAAAGCTGCAGACCAGAGTTCTTTGGAGATTAGCAGTGATGGTCATTGGAGACTCCACAGACAGAGCCATCTATGGCTATGTTGCTGAACCGTCATTTGCAATTGGCTGTTGTGGAGCGATCCTCACCAGACAACAGGTGCAGATTTGTTGACAGGTGTGGATATCTTGGATGAGTAAAATTGCTGATGGCTAATGATGTAGCCGCGTGCTAGATTGTAAAATGCTGAGCTATAACAGAATATGAAGCCAACTCGCATGCTTTCAGATCACTTGATGCTGATATCCGCCCACCCCCTCAGCCCCGCATGAATTCCCGGGTGACAAGACCCAAGCCCTGACTAAATCCTGTGAAAATTGTATCTGTGTGCCTTCAGAGTGCCTGGGAAATGTAATCCTGTCAGTTGGGAAATGGCATAAGGATTCCAAGCTGTTTGTCCAGCAGGCATTTACTGTAAACTTGCAGGAACTCAGCCTCAGTCAAGTTGTCTGAGACTTGTTGACTGCTGCTCTTTTTTTGTTTACTGAGAGGCTTGTGTGGATCGGTTTTAACATATGTGTGGTCTGAAATTGCAGTTCATTCAAAAAGGTCAGTCTGCCTTCAAACAAGAAACAGAGTGTTTGCAGCAATACTCGAAAATTCAGATGAGATTTAAGAGTATGAAATAATAACCCAGCACCTGCTATTTGGGGATCAAATAGTTGTTCTTTAGATGCTTAATTCAACTATAGTATGAAGTAATACCACAAAAGTCACATGAAAGGAGAGTTTCATTTTGTATTATAATAAGTAGGCGATTTTCAAAAATTACTACAAGGCAGTTAAGTCATTGATAGTTGCATATGATTTCCAAGAAAGTAATTTTACTGAAGAAAAAAAGAACTCAACCAGTTTTTCTTCAGTGAAGAAGCCTTCCTATCATTCGCACGTTTTTGTTAACATATTTATTCTTTGAGGGAATTACTGTTATGACATTCGCACCTGTCGCCCTTGGAATATTGCTGGACAGCTGGCAGTGTCACTGCGCAGCTGAAACGATACTGGCAGACAAGAGCAGGACCCGGCTGACAAGTCAGTCGTCTCGGGGTGTTCCCACCGGGTCCTAGCGACTGCAAATCCTTGTTCCACATATACTCAGGTTTAGTATGCGGTGATTTGTAACAGGAGTCACTTATAGTGAAGCTGGGTTGCAAATAGCAACTCCTGCCAGGAAACAGAATCATGTCACGCCAACCCCATGATCAGAAGTATTTGACGTCTGGGCCGCTTTGGTGACATGGCCTGATGCACTTCTGGTCATCAGAATCAGCTCATCGAATCTCCTGTTAGGAATCACCTCTTGTTGACGTATCCTGCAATTGTATAGTTCCAAATACATTGATATTGAGTTATTTGTTAATAATTGTCCATTACATTAGCATTTTTTCGAAGTTCAGGATTCATTTTTCTTAATTTGACTATCACAAAGTGAAGTGTTAGTGCACTGCATTTTATTTTTCAATTATGCATTTTGTAGGGGATAAACTGTGTATATTCCATTTATGTCTTTAATGGCTTCTCCTACTGCTAATGTTCCTCGAGGTTCTTTCATTAGTCCTGTCCTTTTCCTCATTTACACGCTCCACCTTGACATCTTCTGTGGGCAGTGGGCGCACTTCAATTTGTACACAGACAACACCCAACTACCTTTTTGCCTCCACCCTCGACTCCAGCACTACTGCTGTTCTGACAGACTACCTGTCAGACGTCAACCTCTGGATTGACTTTAACATTCTCTAACTCAGCATTGACAAAATTAAGGCTGTTCTGCTTGGCTCCCGTCAGTACCTCCTCACAAGAGGTGCAGCCAATATCGATATCGGCGGTTTCTTACTCCAACTCACGGAGCCCGTGAGGAACCTTGGCATTTGTTTAACCCTCAACTCTTTTAAACCCTTCATCTAGGCTCTAAGGAAGATGATTTCTTTCTTCTCCACAACATAGCCGCTTCTGCTACTATCCCACCCTTATGCAGTTGAAAACCTCCATCTAAGTCGTTGTCACTTCCAAACTTGATTTTACCAATTTCCTACTTGCCATCTTCCCCAAATCCATCCTTCAGAAACTCAAAAACATCCTGACCTCTGAAGCCCACACCCTCTCTTCCACCAGGCTCTGTGAGTCCATCTCCCCCATCCTGTTGCCGGTCTGCCTCTTCAGATGGATGTTAAATATCCCATGACACTTTTCAAAAAGAGAAAGGAGTTAATCCCAGTGATGTTTGAGGTATATCAAATACAAAGATTATTATTATCCTCATCTAGTTCCACTGCCTCTCTAACTCCAGCGGATAAACTTTTACAATCCTCATCATACCTTCAAAAACTCTTGTAGAACTTACCCTATCCTACCTCTGCGATCTCCTGTGAACGTATTCAACAGTCATTCCTTCAGCTCTGCCATCTACATTTTCTCATTCCTACCCTGTTCACTCTCTGGCACCTCTCCGACCTCCTCAGTCTCCAATCCACCACCCGGCACCTCCGCTCGACTGGCACTGGCCTCCTGCTCGTCCTTCGCAACCTCCGCCCCACCATCGGAGGTTGCACTTTCAGGCACTACGCCCCAAAACTCTGAAACACTCTCCCTCAATCCCTCCGCCTTGGCCCCTCTCTCCCCATTATCAAGTCCTGCCTGAAAACCTTCCTTTTCAACTGTGCTTACGGCCACCTCGCCCCACCCCTACCACTCCCCCTATCAGAGTCAGGCTCTGCCACTGTTAATACTAAATAATAATAATAATCCTTGCATTTGATATAGCGCTTTTCACATCTTCTAGACATCTCAAAGCGCTTCACAGAATATACTGTAAAGTGAATTGACTGTATATTTGTGGGCGAAATGTGGCAGCCAATTGCACCCAGCAGTGTCCCACAAACAGTCGTGGATTGAAAATGACCAATTTATTATTATTATTGTTTTTTGGGGGGATTATTATTAGGCGTGTGGAGTAAGGAAACTTGCCCAAGATTTCGCCCTGCCTGGAATTTAATTCAGGTGTTCTCGCTTGCAAGGCGAGTGCTCTAACCACTGAGCTACAGGACTCCACAACGTTAAGCGCTCTGATACGCTACCCTGCATGGAGGGTGCTATATAAGTGCAAGTTGTTGTTGTCCCATTATTGGTGGGTGCGTTTTTAGCCATTTTGCCCTTGCCCTCTGGATATCTCTTCAGAAATCTCTCCGCCTCATTCCCTCCTATTCTGCTTTCTCTTCTCCCCCCACCTCTCTCCCACACCTCCTGTCTGCTTCTCAGCTCAGGCTCTCACTCAGTCTTTGTAAAGTACTTTGAGACATTCTCCCTCGATGAACAGCCCTAAATAAGTGCAGATTGTTGCTGTTATATGTGTTTGTGGATAGAAAATCCAAATAAAGTATTTGCATTTAAAGTGCTAGTTATTGTGTAGTAAAGCGAGTTGGAAATTGATTTGCTTAGCTGTATAGAAGTTACATTGATGGTGGATCTGTCAATAAACACAAGATTGATAAAACCACAGAAGCAGTGAGCAAGATGTAACAAGAGTTGTGCGGAGGTAAGACACTTAACACCCCGCTGAGTCAGACATTTGTTTCATTTTGGAAACATGAGATAATTTGTTGATGGGGGTCTATGAGGGTCAATATGTTCCTTCTGAATCTGCAATACAAGCTAGGGAAAGTACTAACGGTTGGTTATCTGAAATTGCCAGAAATAGCATGCAATACAAAAAATTACATTCATAAGTGTGTGGAATGAATATGCTTTCAAATGCACATTAATAAAGATCTAAAAGTTATGTAGGAAGGGCTTTCATTTAAAGAAAACTTTACCTGTGTCATAATCTGAAAACTACTATTTCTACAAAAGTAGAGACATTTTGGAACATGTTCAATGATTATTCATTTGAGGAGAGAGTTTCAAGTTTTAGGCGTGTTTAATTTCACTCATTAGTTCATTTGTTTTTTTTCCAAATGACTAACTCAAAAATATTTACTAGAATTAAATGTATTAAAATGACAGTGAACCAAGATAACAACTGGTGGGAATGGAAAATGTCTGCTAGTATGTGGGAAAGGAAATGATCTAAAACCATTGGGACAAAAATGCACTGAAATAGAAGAGGGACATTTTGAAGATGAGCATGCACATCTCTTAGCTACATATGAATGACCAAACTAGAACGTATTGTCTTAACCCTTCAAGGAGTATTTTGCAACCAAAAAGAAAATCTGTTTTGCAGTATTATGTACATTTTTATTTCTAGGAATGTGACACATTTTCTTAAGCCTGTATATATGATTATTACTGTACTTCCAATATTAAATATGGGAGATGTCCAGAGAATAAATTTTGCAGATGTTTGTGTGAAAGCTGAAAAATGATTTTATTCCTCAATGGGTTAATGAAACAGTTGTTCCTTGAGATTTAAGGTAGTTAAACACAGAGCTGCATATAGGACATTGCAATTTGATTGGAATTCTGAGTTCAGAAAAATGGTGCTGCAGACAGCAATTAATGTAATCACACTGAGCGTTGCAAACGATGATGTGGTTTTTATATAAAATTTTCATGGTTCTTTTAGTGGATTGCAGTGTTCCTTTGGTCCCTTTGATTCAATATTCATTGATGATTTTTGGTCTGAAATGGGCTGTAGTTTGATCAAAGGCGCTCGGATTTTACACATCCTTTGTTCCGGGATGTCCCTTGTGATCTGTATAGAAGTTTGAACTTTCCAAATTGTGTATTTCAGACGTTGAGAAAGAAGGGACTAAATGGCTGTGACAGCCCAGACCCAGAAGCAGACGATTCAGTGGGTCACAGCCCTGAGTCTGACGAGAAGTGCAGAAAAATAAATGAAGATATTGATCTAATGATCAGCAGGCAAAGATTGTGTGTAAGTACAAGGATCTTCCTTCATTTTTATTTTTGATATCTCTCTGAACCTGGCAGGCATTGAACAAGAAGGAAAACAAAGGCTGTGACAGCCCTGATCCTGACTCCTCTTACGCTCTTACCCCACGCACTGAAGAAAAATACAAAAAAATTAATGAAGAGTTTGATAATATGATAAGGAATCATAAAATACCTGTAAGTACCATGAGTTAGATGGCTGTTGTGCTGACGACTGCTGCAGTAACCTTTACCCTTTTAGTGCAGATATCTCACATTTTACATAAATGCTTAGTTAGTACTTATGCACATTTCATGCACATAACATTTTCTAACAAGCAGAACTAAATTATGCCTCCTTCTTTGGTTCCTAGCTGTATAGTATAATCCAAATGACATCCATTTTAGCTGTCATCGAGAGCAGCGGGGAGGAGTGACTTTGTATAAGATCTTGAGAAACTAAGGCACTGACTTTTACATAGGTTTGTATAAATTTCTTCTTTAATCACTCTACCATTAAAGTTTGTTACAATTTTTAGCTGTACCCTCACTTGATCATTGGCATCAGTATTGAGTGACTAAAACAGAATGTAGCAAAATGTACGACACAAAATCTATAACACATCTCTGACCATCAGTTACAACTATGAGTTAAAAATAAACGACAGCCACACTCTTTAAAAATAAAACCATGTAGGAGGTGACAGGTGGGCAATAGTACCTTGTGTGTGTATGTCAGAGAATACTGATCTATATTTAAACAAATGCTTTCATAAGCAAAGCATTCCTAACCAACACATGGTAGAAACATTATCTTACTTTCCATCACATGTAGTAATGTTTAAGAGTAATACATTTAAGATGGATCATTCCTATATCTCATACTTTTCATCACAAAGTCCATTTTTATTTTTAACATAACAAATATACGCCAACTTTAAATATTGAAGCACTCTCTAAAACACAATCTGTCCAGTTAGCAATACTTTTCATAATTAAAAAAAGCAGAACGAAATTTTAGAAAATTAAAAGGATACCATCATTATTACACAACATTTTTTCATCTGAATATTCACATGCCATGTGATGACAGGATTTACATTGTGAGAATACCATGTGTGCTTCTGAAACATCATTGTATCTCTTGCAATGACGGAATAATGACAGAACTGGCACTGAGATCCTCTGGAATCAAGCTACTGAAAATTTCTTCCCTAAATGACAATGATTGTCGCTTGAAAAATATAAGCCGTTTTATTTATTTCTTTTATGCATTTACCTTTGGCCTTTTGTGCCTCTCAAATGACAAAAGAACTGGGAAATGGAATGTTTGTTTTCTCCATTTGGCACTCAATAAACACATCAAGCAATTTCTTGTTAGTTATAGCACAAACGAGAGGTAATACTGAGCTCCCTCAACACTACTCTGGCAATGTGCCTGAAGTCCCAACTTTATATAAGACAGCCTCCTGCCCCAGTGAGGCTCTTTATGACTCTTACACCATCTCCTTGTGGGCTGTATAAATGATGTTGCCAAAGTACAGCTGAGAGTGCCAGATTTCAGGGCAGTGTTGTGTTGAACTCACACTCATTGATAAGCAGTGTGAGACCAACCAATTCAATTAAGCCCTTAAACAACAACAACTTGTATATATATAGCACCCTTCATGTCCGTCGGCATCGTGAAACCCTTAGAAGGCATTGAAGAAAGATTTTTTTTCCACCCATTTTTCTGAGCTGGATTTAGATTCAGATCTGCCAGGTGAAAGTGCAGTGTTCAAACCTCTTACACTTTTTTGCTGCATGTTGTGGGTGTTATATGCTCCACTTATTTTCACTGTTTTAACCACATTGGTTTATTTGCCAATAATTTTTAAAATTCATTAATAATCTTTGTATTTGATATAGTGTCTTATCACTTTGTTTAAAACACCTCAAAGCACTTCACAGAATATACTGTAAAGCAGTTTGACTGTCTATTTTGTGGGCGAAACGTATCAGCCAGTTTGCACGTAGCCCACATGTCCCACAAAGAGCCATTGAGTGATTGATCAATTTTATTTGCGGGATTGTTGCCCAGGACTCTGAGAAAAACTCCCTTCTCTTTTCAAATAGTGCCATAGGATCCTTAACGTCCACCTGAACAGGCAGACGAGAACTCAGTTTAACGTCTAATTTGAAGGACATCACCTCCAAAAATGCAATACGCCCCCAGCACTGCATTAGATGTCAGCTTAGTCTTTATCTTTAAGCAAGTTGTAATATTTCTAATAGTTAAACAGAGGACACTTCCATTTTATCTCAAATTTGCGGCCGTTACATTACAGAACAATCATGGTACCTGTACTCCAAAGGGTTAAAGCTTACTGCTCGCTGTAGTGCGTCAAGCTGCATGAAATCCTGTTGATGAAATTCAAACACGTTTGTGTGCTGGGGTGAATTAACAGGATTACAAAAATTGCTTTGCGTCCCGTCAAGAACATTTATTCTCCTGCCTTAACATTAAGCTACTTTGTTGACAACTAAAGCAAAGCCTCAACACTCACAGTCTTTCATATGCCTCGCCAGAACTCTGAGAGAAATAACATAACTATTGCATGTGCTTACTGTTGCATGAATAACTAGCTCACCAATGTGATCACTTGTAATACTGTACAGTGCACTATATCAGGTTTTCTTTATTTTTCAACTGTGCTTGTGTTTATGAAAATGGATACAATCGTCTTTCTTCCTAACATACCATTAGCACTGTTATTGTAAAGACTTCAATTGGTTATTTTTGTCCATAATTCAACAAGGGCATGAACGGATAAGTTTNAAAAAAACCTTCAAAGCGTTTCAAATTTTTGCAAAATTCAATTGACATTCACTGAAAAATAAATAAAATGTTTGTTGCAGTCTCCAGCTTCTGCTAGTGACAGTTCAGCTTGTGGTCAGTGTGGTTAAAGACAGCAGGGCAGCCAGATCCGAGTAATGGATGCCGTCATCTCACACAGGAAGGATGGCACCATCAAAATGACAGCTTACTGTAAGCCTACACACGCATGGCGTAGCATCACCATTTCAAATCACCTCGCCCAGTAGACCACAAAGTAGAGGTGGGAAGAACATTGCTGAACAGAGATGAAATGGTGGGTCCTGAAGATGACATGGTCAACAGGACCCAAGTAAAAGACTCATTGAAGAGCTGACTTAATGTGGCCATTCTAAATGGGTTGCATACATGACCAAGTGGTCCAAAACCTCACGTAAATTACCAAAAAAAAACATCAGCGCAGCCAAAAGAAACAGTCCTTCATCTATTGGATGTGTTGTGACATTTCCAAGAGACATTCATTAGCAAAGATATTAAAATGGTGTTAAAATCTGGAGCCACGTGTACTTTTCTGTACACTGCATGTTAAACCATAAAATTTATTCCAGTGCAAAGAATAATAAAAGATAGTTTTTTTTATAAAAGGTAAAAATTGAACTAAATTACATAATGATATATGGAAATTGGGTTATAATTGGGTCAGATCAATTAAGAACATGCACATTTAAAATAATACAAAGATAAACCAGAATATTAACTGGTAAACCTCTTGAGAGCTACACTAAATGATAGTCAGTTTGGATGATCAGCGATTCTGAATAAAGGAGGATTTTACACAGTAAGTAGAGGGAATAGAAACACTGAGGAAAAACCTTGTCAGTGAAAAATAAACCAACAGGACTTTTTTTTAATGATGTATTTAATCCATTAATTTCCCTCCCTCCCATTTCTCACCCTCTGCCTTTCCTGAACAAACCGGAAACTGCTGCCAAGAGGGCAGATGGACAGTCCATTCCTCGGCCTCTGCCAAGCATGTTCTGAACTAGCCATCAGAAGTCATGGAGTCTCCTCCAGATTTCCTTCCCTCCCTGTGGGGAGACACCTGGCGTCCATTCAGTGGCTTCCTTACCAGCAGTGACATTGCTAAGATCCCAAACTCAGGCAGGAGGGAAACCACGTCCCACCATTGTTTAATGCTTCATGTTGTGCTCCAGCACCCTGTGCCCCTCTATTCTGCAGGACTCAGAAGTTGCATTTTTATCCGTGTCACCAAGCCCTGCTCATTAACCTCACAATAACCTCATTTTTGTTTTCTTGTATGCTTCAAGTAAAGTGTTGCACACAGGTATATATGCACACAGAAATAACAGAAGTGTCACACATAAGAGGGTCGTTATCGTTGTTACCATATTTTAAGCCTGACAACTCAGCTGAAGCAAAACGTTAGGCAAATCATTTTTATTTCATGATCGTAAATCCTGAATGCATTGCCGAATGACATTAAAGTATGCAGCATTTAATTATCAATGATCCAAACTTTAAAATACTTTCTAAAACACAACTGAATTAGAATTTCTTGTGCAGTGTTACAGCATTGATAATGTGTTATCAATGTTCTTAAAAATGAAAGACCATCAAATTGCGCTCGAGCTGACAGCAGTTATGATTTATGGGTTTTCTAAGAAAATTTAGAAAACTCTCATGACACAATAGCCTCCATGTTATTTGCTGTTTTTCATGACTGCACGTGCCAATTATCTTGCTCATTCTGATCTGGCTCAGTGAGTTTAAGTGAGCAGCCGATCCATACAGACTAGAAAGACCCTAAGTTCAATCCTAGGTCTGTGCTGCGTTAGCTGATCTCAGCTGGGGTGAAGTAGACGCTCTATAATTGGCCTCAGCATCTTTCGATTAAGGAGAGGAGAATCAGCCAGGGTCCCCTTCCCAATTGTATTGTGTGATCCCGCCTGGTCATCAGCTTGTGCCGCACTGGATGAGGGCAGGATCAAGCTTGCCTGTGATGCTTCTCACAATCTGTCAACACTCACTGTCAAGTGTCACACATGAAATGGCTGTTTGGGTGAGGTAGCAGAGGTTGGCTAATATCCGTGGAACCAACAAGAAATCTATGGCTTCAGGAGAGGAGAGAATGGGAGAAAATTGTCAATGAAAACAAGTAAAAAGTGCCTGCAAACTGCCTTGTACTTTAAGTCTTACAGCATTTCCAAGGTGACAAATTGCAACTTCTACAAACTTGCAATCCATCCCAAGCAGCATTATTAATGACATAACCAGCCTTCCTTGCAGCATTCATGTCTATGTACTGTATTTATTAGCATGCATTATTTTTGTACGAGTACAGATATGAAAAAAATCCTTCAGCGCGTAGTGAAAAATAAATTGGAAGACCTCGCAGCTTTCTGAGCATTAACAGGAATCTGTGCAGAACTTATCAAAGGAGAGGACGCCTGTTTTGTATGAGATCTTTAAGTTTTGTATTGAATCAAATGAGACAGGAAAATTAATGTCCGATGATTACTATTGGTGGCTTACTGAACATGTTACACTTAGGAATGAATGTTACAGAAACAATTGAAATAAGTAAGGGAGTAAAATGATTGCAGTTATATTAGATAATTGTTTTCCTTTTACAAAAATACAGTACTACAATTTACACAAATAAACTAAAGTTATGAAAAATCATTATCTCCACAATGTGTTACTTGGAACTTATATATGCAACTTTTTAAAATCATAAAACACTATATTAACAGATCTAACTAAAATTCATCACATCGTCTGGTGATCCAAGCTCACTCTTTCCTGAACTTCAGAATTATGGCACCTCCTCATCTCTCTCATTTTTCCTTTCCTCTTACAATCCACAGGTTTTCAAAACCAAAATATCACCTTATCACTGTTCCTTAATTTATTTCCTATGTTTTTTAATCATGTTGGCATTCTGCACTGTGGCCTCTGGCCATTCACCTCGTTTTTTTTCCTATTTGAAACTATTAATCCTTACTTTCAAATACGCCAAAGCAATAGAACAAGAGGGCACAGGTTAAGGGATGGAAAGGGCAATTTTAGGACAGACACCAGGGAGTATTCTTTCGCACAGAGAGTAATTAGCGTCTGGAATGGATAGACAGGAAAGAGGTAGATAACATCTACCCTTGTTCCCCCCCCAAAAAAAATAAGGAATTGCAAAATGGATACTTCTTAAATTTATAAATACTGGATGATTTATTGCATTCATTTTAACAAAAGAAATTAATTAAAAATTACAAGAGTTGAAAATAAAACCAATACATATTTGTCTACCTTAGTTGTGTGACCTTTAAACAAAAACAATCTCAACTGACACCCCCCCCAAACAAACACACACCCCATGTTCTTACTCTCTGTAGTTAACCCAAGTTGTCTAAAATTTCTATCATTTAAGTTGCTATACAGTACTGTAGGATTTCCCAAACATTTCTGAGGCATCTTCTGAGCTATCTGTGCCATTCTGTTTTATTGATGTTTTCCATGTACTGAGTTTCCCTTGCACTACATGTATAATGTGCAATACAAAAGTGATTAAATCAAGTCTATACAGAAATATTTATTATTGAGATACTTTGCAAAGTTTGAGTTGCACTGAACCAAGCTGTAAATGGAACCCTGGTTTCTTTTTGTCATTGGTCTATTCCTCCCCTATTTTGTTTTTTCCTTCTTTTCTGTTGCATAGGCTGTTCCACCACCGAACTTTGAGATGCCAGTTTCGATCCCTGTGTCCAACCAGAACAACCTGGTCTACAGTAATCCAGGCTCCCTGGGCAACCACAACCTAATGCCAATGGCTCACCCCTCTATGCAGAGGAACAGCATGTCTCCTGGAGTAACACAGAGGCCACCGAGTGCAGGAAACGCAGGTAGGATTCACTGGGTAAATGCCTTTAATGGGAGATTAGTGTCGGGGCATGACAAACCCTAGATTTGTGGGTTCCTTTTGGTTTATCATTGATATAGCTTGTGTGCCTTAAATCTATTTTTAAGAAAGTTGTTTATTACCTATTTTCACAAAATATAAGCCGAATATAAAGAGAAACAGCAGATATTTACCAAAAGCAGTTTAGTACAGTATATACCCGTGTTCTTTTTAAATACCAGCATTGGTAGCTGATAAAGTATAGGCATTCGCCTTCAAAACACAGTCACGACACTATATAGTATATCCTGTGAAGCTCTTTGAGACATCCTCTTGACATGAAAGGTGCTATAACAAATGGAAAGATTATTATTTTGTTATTATTATAACTCCACCAAAAAAACATACACTTTTCACTAACTTATTTTTCCCCCTTCCAATATTCTTCCCTCTGTCTTGCCTGATGGAGCTGACTGCAGAGTGCAGAATAGTTCAGTAGGTGCCAGGCATCCTCCAGTAATGGCTCACAGTGTAACCCAGACAGTGATTGTGATGAACCAGAGGTGCAAACATATGGCCCGTGGGTGATATTTGGTGACCCATCCATTCGTTTCTAAAATTTATATATTGTACTGTAGTTTTTCTTCAAACCAACCCTCTTTTTAATATAAGACATATATTCAAACCTGTGCAATCTGCATTGCATGAGTGACATTCACATTAAACCAATGACAACTCACATTAATACAATGTATAACTTGTTTGTATGGTGCAGCCCACCAAGTGAAAAGTGTTAACTTAAATGGCCCTTGTGGCCAGATGAGTTTGACACCCCTGCGATTGACTGTTTGATGCTGTGGAGAGAGCATAATAGATCAACCTGATTTTGTCCTCTGCTGCGGTCCAGCATTTTTCATCATCATAGCTCTACGGTCATTATCTTAAGGTTGTGCAGAATTTTTAAAAATTCTTAAATGCCAACTTAATTTTGCAGCTGTTTTTCTGCACCGCGTTTTTAAGAATTGCAGAAATCAAAACGGAATGTAAGAATTTTCCAACATTCTGCCCGACATCAAATTTTAACATAACATGTAATGATGTTAACATTAAGTCCATAAGGAATTTATGGCCTTTGATGGGCACATCGCGTGTGCTTTCTTGCCAGATAGAGAGAGACCAGTCGTGTAATTCTGGGTGATTTTTATCCCCTCCCTAACCCAGCAATGCTGATTCTAATTATAGCATTCCTGCAGTCCCACCCCCCCCTCACCCATCCCCTCATCCCTAAAGCAGCTCAGGCTAGGGATCAAACCAAAAATCTTCTAGGTCTGCTTGGCTCAGGGTCATACTAAGCAGTGGCTTTATCAATCAAACAATGACGAGAGCTACTGCTTTTTATTGACACGCTACAAGCTTCTAGGTCAAATTTTATTTTGCTTGTTTGGGCAAATCAATTATGGACGAATTTACAATTTACTTTCTTTCACACACTGTGCAAGCTTTGGGTGTGCCACTACACAGGGGGGTAAGTTGCGCTGCTTGAGCCAGTTGTATTAGGTTAACCACGCTGTACAATCCCCTGGGGGCTGAGGGCAGATCACACGTTTCTGCAATCTGCCAAAGTGTCTGAACGATGTGGAGTGAGTTGTGGGTTTACAGCACATGCCTCTCATTTTTAGCACAGTTTGATTTTTTTTGTGTGAAATAAATTTACTTTTAACAACAACAACTTGCAATTATATAGCGCCCCTAATGCAAGTTAGGATCCCAGAGCACCTTGTGTAAGAAGAACTAGACATTTGTGGCAACTGTCATTTGACAAAGAGTGAACGGGGTTAGTACTGGGACATAATGCAGTACAAGTAAACAGGAGAATTCACCCAGTGGTAGGGTTTTCAATATCGGGTTTTCAATATCCAATTCTTCTGTCCTCCTGTGTGGGGAAAAATTCCATCTGGGTCTCTATTTATGTAGCATTTTAAAGCTTCCAAAAATTGTCGAATTATTGAATTATTTTTTTTGTATTTCTTAAAAGAACTTAAAGAAAATCTGCTTCAAAATGAAGGCCGTATTTACAAATTAGCCAAATTCTGGACGTTCTGGCATGCTGCATAAATAGAGTAGATCGAGACTCAGGTGAAATTTCTCCCCGCATTAATAGTCTTTTTGTCATCAGATGCAGATGAGTTATAAATTGTGCTGCTGCCCTCTAGTGCTCCCATTGTTTTCAATCGGGAAATACGTTCACATGTTACATTTAGAGAACTGCATATGTAAGGAATTAGAAGACAATAACATTGCTGCAGGGACCAACTTTACCTCAGTGAGAGAGGTTGATTAGTTTATATGGACAGACATGAACTCCACAATTGTAAGATTGCATTTAACTATTATTCCCAATAATACTTAACATAAATGTTCTATTGTGGAACTTAAAATTTCAGGCGAGTTACTGTTTCTCATAGAAATCTCAAATTGTTGTGAAAGGGGCCAGTGAATGTATATTATAAGTCTTTGTTACATTAAAATGATTGCGTTGTGACTGCACGCCTGGAAAAGTGTTTACATGGTCATTTGTTTTTGTTGGGTTCATTGCCTTGTTGATTGTAAAATGGCAAACTACAGAATATGACCCTGGTCATTGTACGATATAGTGTGTGTTGCTGCACTCACAGTGTTCAGCTTATATCTACTGTCTAAATGTCATTGATGCTAATCAGATTTTGTGCTCTTGTTTTTAGGTGGCCTCTTGGGTGGGGACCTCACAACAACTGGTGCAGGCACCAGTGCAGGTACGTCACCCAGCAGAATGTTGAAATACTTGATGCATCTGAAAGCTGTCATGTTTATCAGTAGCAAGATTTTTATTCTTTAAAAAAGAAATGTGCGAAGTTACTATTCATACCACTTCATGTTTTGGAATCGTGTGATGTGTGGAGTGCAGTGACACAGTATATCGGAGTAATAATTCATTGGCAGGATAGCATACTCATACTGGATACTAGTCTGATCTGCACTCTGCAGACTTACTGATCTAGCTATATCCGGGCAAAGAGCCATGAAATGAAGGTCAGGCAGAGCTCTCAAGTTTCACTCATTTCGTACAGGGCTTTATTATTTTCTTTTTAAGAGTACAACCTATTTTTGCAGATCTTGCTCTGAAAAATAAAAACAAGGGGCAATTCTTTGAATGTCAGCAAATGTACGGATAATGACAAGCATTAACATCTTATTCTCTGCTGCTCTGCAGTAATTCTGACCTTTGGGGATCAATCCTACAGCTCCATATCTCTAAACAAGTTTAAACCTGTCTCAATTTTCTCAATCATAAATATCACTCCTTGACGTTGACAGCTTAGAGCACCTCCCTTATACAGTAAGTGTCCCTTAGCCATTCCTTTTCATGCCTTCTGAGGTGTAGAGTTTGATCGCAGCTAATAGCTCATTCCTTTCCGGGATAGAGAAACGTTGGTAGTGGTGGGGTAGGGGGTGGGGAGGGAGCAGAGCACCCACTTGTTCTCTTAGCTGTAGGTGAGAGAAAAGTATGAAGAAAAAATATTGGAAGAAAATTATTCAGAAACACTGCATGATGTTTTAAAATGTAAGATCCATTGACAGCTTATCTGTAGAATTTAGATTTAGTTTTAACGTAGAGAAAAACAGCTGCAAGTTTGCATTGTGAAATGGTATTTGTGCTGTAAACTGTGGGTGGTGTTTTCTTGCCTTTACTACAAAAGTTCACATGTATTGTCTACAGTCCTATGCCATGGAATATAAAGAACCATAGAAATGAATTGTGAATACCAGCCAAAGAAAACAATAGGTTTATACGAGTGTATTTTGTTAACAAATATTGGCTTGACAAACAGTTACATTTTTAGTTCACAGTGGATTTTATGTTGGTTGAAACCGATAAAGGCTGTTCAAGCCTCTGACATTTAGCAATGTTTCTAAAGGAAGGGATTTCCTACACTGCAGGTTGCAGAAATATTCTTGTTCTGGCCACTAGTACGAAGCCCATTTGTTGTTGTAAAATTCATCCACAAGCAATGGGTAAACTTTTACTAACAATAAAAGTAGTCACGTGGGACCAGTATAGACATGGAAAATAAAGCAAAAAAGATCTTTAGAGAGACTGCTTTTATTGACGGTTATCACACAATTATCTGGAAAAGAAAAGTCTTTTTGTAAAATCTGGTCCCCGGCATGTTGCCTAGTCATATGAACGCTCGCTGCTTGTAAAACTATGCTCATTGCCTGAAGTGTCAAAGGACATACAAAACAGGGCAGGAAGGTCAATAGTGGACTTAACTGTCTTGTCCTGATGTCATATTCAGGGAATGTAAGTAATTCAAATAGCTCTCTGTCCATGGGGTATTCAGTAATAAACATGAAAAGTCCTCTTTGTTCTTCATTTGCTTTTTCAAAACAGAGGATTCTCTGTAGTTGCTGCTTGCCCTTAAAATCCAGTAACAAGTAAAATCACATGAAACAACCTTTTGAGCTACATATTTTGTCTCTCTTGAAAGGCAGTTGAGGGAATTTGCCGCTTTTGGGCAATGGAAAATCAAGAATCCATTTAAAGAATGTTGTTCAAATTAATATTTTATTGCTAATTCCTACTGTATGTTGGCAGTCTGTGCAGAAGAAACCATTTCCTTTGGCTTTTCTAACTGCAGCCTCAGAAAGTAGGCTCGTTCAGTTTCTGGCAGGTCACATGTCACTCTGCAAGCTCAAAATTTTTTAGTGAGATAGAAAATTGAACTTTTTCCTAAATCACCCTATCTTCTTCAAACTGCAGTGGGATCTAAAGTTCAACATGTGATATGTGAGGAGATGATAATCACATTACCAAAAACTGGTCACAGGTGTCATTGTGAACAGCTTTGAGGTGCCTTCTGACATGAGAGATGTTATACAAATGCAATTTTTTTGTTATAGATATTTAATCAAATTGAACAGCGGTAGTAATTTGAGTATGAGGCAGGGCTGCAATGGCTCAAATTAGAGCTAGGCCATTTAAGAGAGAACTATTATTTTACGTAAGGTATCAACAACAACAACTTGGATTTATATAGCGCCCTCCACGCCGGACGGCGTCTCAGAGCGCTTCACAGTAACGGATCCCGGGGCCGAGCCAGGGGGAGGGGGAGGAAGGTGACCAAAGGCGTGTTCGAAAAGAAAGGTCTTCAGCAGAGACATGAAAATAGGAAGAGAGAGGGGGCGAGGCGAAGGGATTGAGGAAGGGAGTTCCAGAGCCTCGGGGCATAGTAGCTGAAGGCATGGCCACCGAGGGTGGAGCAGAGGACTCGGGGGACAAGGAGGAGGCCAGACCCGGAGGAACGAAGGCAACGGGTACTGTTTTGAGGAAAGAGAAAGTCAGGGAGGTAGGGGCGCGGAGGAGTGGAGGGATTTGAAGACAAGGGTGAGGATCTTGAAATCGATTCTCTCTGGGACGGGCAGCCAGTTCAGTCTGGCGAGGACTGGGGTAATCAGGGAACAGAGTTTGGTGCGGGTGACAATGCGGGCTGCAGAGTTTTGAATAATCTGGATTTTATGGATGGTAGTGGAGTGGAGGCCGGTGAGGAGGGCGTTTGAATAGTCCAGCCGAGAAGTGACAAGGGCATGGACCAGGGTTTCAGCCGCTTTTGGAGTGAGGTATTTGTGGAGATGGGCGATGAGTCGGAGGTGGAAGAAGGCGGTGCTGGTGAGGGACCGGATGTGGGGGAGGAAGGCTAGTTAGGGGTTGAACCTGACGCCTAGGTTACGTACAGGTTCGAAGAGTTTTAGGAGGAGGTCGGGTAGGTGGAGGAGGTGAGAACCGTGAGATTTTAGACGTTGACGAGAGCCGAAGAGAATGGTTTCCGTCTTGTCAATGTTCAGCTGAAGGAAATTTGCGCTCATCCAGCCCCTGAGGTCTGACAGGCAGGCTGACAGAACATCAGGGGATTGGGGGTCGCAAAGAGAGGTGGAAAAATAGAGTTGGGTGTCGTCCGCATACATGTGGAAGTGTACCCCATGTCTGCAGATGTCATCCCTAAGAGGGAGCATGTAGATTAAAAAGAGGAGGGATATGGAGCAAAGGTGCGTAAATGGAGTTGAGGTACAGATCAGCTATGAGCTAAAAGAATAGCGGATCAGGCTCAAGGGGCTGAATGGCCAGCGCCTTGGGACGTCCTCCCGACGTGAAAGGCGCTCTATAAATGAAATCTTGTTGTTGTTGTTGTTCTCTTATTCCTAAAGGTGCTATAATAATCTTTGCATTGATATAGTGCTTTTCATGTCTTCAAGACGCCTTAACGTGCTCACAGAATATACTGTAAAGTGAATTGACTGTATATTTGTGGGTGAACCGCGGCAGCCAATTGGGCACAGTAGTGTCCCACAAACAGTCGTGGATATAAGTGACCAATTTATTATTGTTTTTTTCTTCTTGAGGGATTATTATCAGGTGTGTGCAGTAAGGAAACTTGCCCAAGGTATCGTCCTGCCGGGAATCTAACCGAGGTCTCTCGCTTGCGAGGCGAGTGCTCTAACCACTGAGCTACAGGACTCTACTAGGTGTGACAATACATAGCAAATTAGGACCAGGAGAAAGCTATTCAGCCCACCAAGCCCACTCTGCCACAGACAATTCACTTGCCTGATACTCTCCTAATCCCATCTTCCCACCATATCCTTAATATTTTTTCCTACCATTTGTTCACTTCACTTTACCACTTTACTATACTTTACTATTACACTGAGCCATTAACACCCAGCCCGAGAAACAAAGTAAAACCTGCGGAGCTATAATAACCAATAGATTTAATTTGTCTGGGCTAGACTCAAACACAACCACCGGGAGATTTTGGTGGCAATTTATTAATATATGCACCTTTTCTTGTACAAGGGAGACCTTTATTTTTCCCAATGTCTCTACAAAATAAAAGTTTTGTTCTGCGTGGTCGGTAGCCCTCAACCATCTTAACTTGTGGTCAGTCAATGGTAACGCCCCATAAGTTAATGGCGCCTTAGGCCACAGTGGTTAGAGTGCACTGAACTCTAACAGCCTTTAAATACCATCTCATTTTGGTTTTCACAATACACTGTTCAGGCCCCAAGTCATATTTTGAGATGAAAACAGCACAAATACACTTTGTATAAATTACTAGGTATAAAAGAATATTGTGTGCGTGGCAGGGAGGATACTGTCTCCTCAAGAGTTGTTTTAGCGCATGTAAAAATATAACCATCTCTTTGCTGAAATTAATCTGAATAATTATATCAGTATAGTAGACAGCAGGCAGAGAGATTCAATGCTGTATTTCATCCAAGAGGTTCAAATGATAGTTTGTATAGTAAAGCTTCAGAACTTTGTGAATGGCATTTGAGCCCTGAAATTACGTAGAACATAGGAATGTACAAGACCGGGAAAAAAATCATTGCAGTCCATCTGACCAGTCCCAAAGTAAAAATAATATATATATAAAAAAATCCTACACTCTATCTCTCAAAGTGATTTAATTACGATACCCTCTTGAATTTGCTGGAACAATCTACCTCCATCACCTGCCTGGGTGGTCTATTCTGTGTCGTCACTATTCATAAATTGAGCTGCAGACATCAGTTTACCAACCAAGCTATCTTGTTTGAACAAAAATGGATGTGTTGATTTAGGTTGAAATGTTCTCCCTGTGTTTGGCTTGGCAATGAGTAAGGCGGAGAGAGGGTAAGTTAGTAAGTCTTGGATACAAGGTTAGATAAGTCATTTTAAACATTTAAACTGAAGGTGTACAGCAACGCGCAAACAAGTCTTTTCAGAAACAGGTCGCTACATTATTATATGTGCAACATAAAATTGCTGAGTAAAGACAGAGAACCCACAACTCAGAGAATGCTTGCCTTAGATTTCCGTACGTTTGCAAGTGGCTAAACCATCCCATATTGTGGTGCTGAGGTATCTAAAGTAGAAAGGACCCAGTTTGATGTGTCCTAGCTTGTCTGCATCACCCAGGGTGACAGTTCAGATGCTACAATCAATCTTAGTTTATCTGGGCTATGGAGAGAAAGATTTGGTCAGGTCCACTTCTGATCAATGTTGAGTGGTTCCTACAGGAAAGAGCATGTGCGTGAGCGCCAGATGAAGAAAGGGTTGATCTTAGGCAAATCACCCGTCTGCAGTCATTGTGCAGGTTTGATGAAGAATAGCCGCTTGATTGAGGTACCAGAGGTTGCAAACATCTGTGGAACTGTACCACAGCATGAATCACTACCTTCAGGAGAGGAGAATAAGGGAGAAAATTCAAGGAGAAAAGAAAATAGTCCAGACTGATAGCCACTGCTGGCTCAGGAACAAGTAAAATTGAAAAGATCTCAAGGTTTCAATACTCTAATTTGGGGTTCGCTTACATGATTTGAGATATAATCTGAATGCCACAGTTATATGACAACTGTTATTCATATTTATTCTCTCTCAATGTATACTCATGCTGTGCAATATATTTTAAGCCAAAGAGGGAGAAATTAGTTTAGGAAAATATTTTTCCCAAATCTTGAAATGAACAAAGCTTCTTTCAATCCCCATAATTGCAACATAGCTGTTTTGCAGCATGGATTTTACAGACAGATATATTTCTAACATTGGCTTATGATCTCAAGCTATGTGGCCAGTGAGTAGAATACGGGAGATTAACAGCATTGAAAGGGATCAGGACAAGTTAAGTGACTGAACTAAGAAATAACAGATGAATTTTACTGTGAGACTATTTTTTGCATGAAACAGGGGGGAAACAATGGATGGGAAAAGGATTTGGGTGTGATTGGTGGTGTAATTGTGGCAATAAAATGCTCAAAGCATTCGCAAATCTTGTATCCTGCCAGTAACCGAGTATGTGTTGCATGAACCATCAGGAACTCTGCTCTGGCACATCCAGAAATAGATTTTGCTGAAGCAGAGTTCCCATGAATTGGTGATACACATTCAGTTTAGGCAAAATTTAAGATTTATCGCTCACGTTACAAAACCCAAAATTCCAACCCCTCTGTTAAACATTTATTGGATATTTGCTGTCAACTTAAAGTTGTTAGTGATAAACACGATAATGAAGTACTAAGATGAATCTAACGGCAATTTGATTTTATGGCAAAATAAATTATAATTTCTTAACATTCTAAAACTTATTTAGAACAACCAGTCTACAAGAAAATTTAGTTGTGTTTGAAAGGGAAGAGAGTTGTGATTAAAGAAATGGAAGGCATGAATTCAAAATTGACAACCATCCACCAAAATTAGAGATTAGAAGAAATATTATTTCCTTACTAAGTAATAGATTGAAGGCTAACAGGACAGATGTAGATAAATCAAATTAGCTATGGAACACAATGGTTCAATAGACAATAGACAAGTCATCTCAAGAATGCATCTGGCTAGTTGAATGGTATTGACTGTAAATTTGGATCAAAAGAATGTACATATCCAATGTCCTGAAAGGGTTTCTTATCAAAAGCTTTTTCTTATTTCCATTCAATATTTTGCCCAATTGCCTGAGAAGTATAAATGACTAAATTTTAACTGTGGCACCTAACAGCAAAGTGAGGGTAAAATTAACTTTATAATGGTGCTTTATTTATGAACACATAATAATAATAATTCTTGCATTTGATATGGCGCCTTATCACGTCTTCTAGAGTTCTCAAAGCACTCCACAAAATATACTGTAAAGTAAATTGACTGTATGCTTTGTGGGCGAAAAGCCATGGCCAACTGTGCACAGCAGTGTCCCACAAACAGTCGTGGATTAAGTGTACAAATTATTATTATTATAAACGATGATTTTTTAAAAATATGCTATTGCCTTGAACAATTGAATATGCAATATTTCTGGGTATTGTGTAAATTTCTTTTATATCAATGATTGTTAATATTAGTCTGGAGGCATAGCAAATCAGACAGACACTCTCAGCATAGTTATTTAAAACCAATCATAATTTTTTTCTCTCTTTTTTAATGCTTGTCTGCTGCTCAGACCTAATCTCCCCGCGCAGAGGCAGTCAGTGGTAAATATGAAAGGCGGTAGCTCAGGCAAATGTTCTTTGACAGATTCTGAAGTGCCAGTTTCAGCAATGTACTGCTGTCCTTCCAGCACTCCGAGACATTATCCCATGTGAAAGACACGATAAAAATTGCAAGTTTTTGTTGCATAACACATTTATTCTGAGCAATCATTAGATGATCAAAATAGATATGGAGCGACTCTGTCTGACTGCTGGGTATTTATAGAATGTTAATATAGTACAGTAATCACAAATTTGTTTTGATTTATTTTTACTTTTCTTCACATTGCTATTGTGGGATTGAAAACCTTGATAATCTATAAATTGAACATTCGTTTGTCCCAAAACTACAAGTTAGAGTAGGTTTTCCATAGCATTTGGGATATTTCCTATAGTGAGAATCCTGAAACAGTAGCAGATTATGGTGTATGCATACTTCGCCCCCGCTGTATATCCATAAAAGTGTCAGTTACTTGGCTGATAGTACAGTTATTCATCAGTCAGTTGAAATCTATGGGAGCCTTTAATCGTCTGTTTCAGTGAAGCTTCGTTGGCACATAACACAATACATTGTGCTAAATTCAGAATGCCCACCTGGGTTTACTGTGGATCAAGAGCATATCTGGGATGGTTCAGTTACGCATTTCTAACCTGAGTGGGCGAAAGCAATAGTCATTTATATGTGGTTACAGCTAAATATAGCATTTGGATGATGAGAATAATAAGTCTTGATACAATTTGCTTATTTTGTGAATGAGAAATATTATAAATAAAGTAGTGATCCTGCACAGACAGATCAACAGTAAGTACCAGTCACCAGCACACATAAGACAAGATAGAAACTGCCATCTTTATCTTCACTCTCTATCTCTCTGTAACTCTTCAAACTAACATTGTGATCTAGAATGTTTCTTCAAAGGGATAGGGCTATAGCCATACATGGAATTGATGTTTATTTTTAAAGATATATTTTGTATTTATTAAAATAAACTTATTGTCTATATTAGTTGGTATATTACAGATGACTACCATACAGACACACATCTCATGATTTCGAGCCTCGTGGTTGCTAGTGCTGAGGAGAAAGCTGTAGTGCCCCTTGGTTAATGCATGCTCCAGTAACTACTTTTGACCTTCAAGGGGTGACTCGCCCTACAGTATTTCTTCAGTTGTCCGGGAACCTGATCTCCATTTCACACTTTCCCAGCATGACATTCTTATGTTTCTTATGTTCTTATAAGTGTTGATACTTTCAAACACAGATGAGATAGTTTTCTTTTAGGAAATAACATTATGGGATATAGTGCAAAGGTAGTTCGGGACATATGTGTATGCGACCACCGGGAAGGTGGAAGTCGAACTAGATGGACCTTGGTCTTTTTTCGTCTAGCATTTCTTATGCTTATGTTCTTATGACATGGCTGATACTAGGTCACAGTGTCGGGAACCATAAGATACAAGTCCAAGTTGTACACTGTCACACAATATATTCGACAAATCTATTGTATAGTTGTGCTTTACTATGTGGAATAGAACATTGAGATCATACTAGACCACAAAAAAAAACACATGATCTGATAAGCCACATCAGTAGACATGTATATCTATTCCAGTGATTGAAACTGATTTTTTTCCCCCAAGAAAGAAAAAGTATATTTGCATCTTATTGTCTTGACCAAATGATCGTCCAGATTAATGGTGAGTAAGATTTAGAAAAATACTTTTTATTCAATGCTTTTCCTCCCTCCGCCCATCATTGCTATCAGATATTGTAGCTATAATTTATGCAGAAAGAAAACAACATTACATTCATTTTTTTACAAATTTTGTGTCTAGAAAAGGTTTAGATGGCAATTCCTCCACTAGTCAGTAAATGTATGGAGCATGGTGATTTGAGTTTATAATGGGATTTACCAACGACTAGAAAATAATCCACTTTCGTTTATTCTCAATCTTGCATTTTAGTAAAATAAATTCCCTGTTATGTTTCCCAGAGGCTTGTGAGCAGAGTTTTTTTAAACCCTGTCAGTTGCAGAATATTTCCAAACTGAAAAATCAACACTTCTGCTGATGGATGTTTTTGGTGAGAAAGGAGAATAGTTCTTTTGTGTTGTGTGCCCACACCCAATCACATAGGGTCTTCACAGCCCAAAACAAGAGGGTAATTTCATCTCATCCATTCCAACAGGATCCAAATCTAATACCGCACTGTGATACCCAGTCCTTTTTTAGAGGGTGGGGGCGAGGGAGGAAGCATGGTATCAAAAGGATTGTACTTCATCTAGTGCCTATGTAATGTACACAAAGTTTGCTTTTGTTGCATTCCTGATGCTTATATTTACTTTGTTTTATTTGATCTCAACTCCTTGCATGTGCTACTCATCTTTTGTTCCATCTGTTAGCTCTCTGCTTTGATTCTTAGCATGTGCTATCTTCTTTACCCTTAACAATATATGTGAATGTTGTAGATGTTGGAGGGGGCGAGAAAAGTGGAGAATAGTATAAATAAAATAAATAAATAATCCTTACATTTGGTTTGGCCCCTTTCATGTCAGGAGGATGTCTCAACTGCTTCAAAGAAGTTACTGTTAAGGGCAATGAGTGTGTATTTTGTAGGTGAATGATAACAAAACAGATAGAAATAAAGCAAAAGAAAGTTAAGAAAAAATGATCGTTGATGAAAGATTAGCAGAAAAGAGCATAAAATGTTAAATAATACAAGAAAAGATATGAGGATACAAAACAGACAACAGCTTGAACTTATGTAGCACAAATGTATCTAATCATTCCTCATAGTTCATCCCTCTAATGTTGGGGATTAGTCTTGTTTGTTTCCTTCGTTCTGCCTTTCGGACTTGGTTAGTCTCCTTATGTCTTTGTGAATGGAACTGTATGCATTTCTCTAGGTGTGGGTGGGACCAAACCAGAGTACTGTACAGCTCGAGCGTGACTTCTTTCAACAACAACAAGTTGCATTTATATGGCGCCTTTCACATAGGATGAGCATCTCAAATCACAAAACAAAAGGCATATTTATTTTGGAAGCCATGAAAGACTTATAAAGAAAGTACAGCACGAACAGGTCACTTAGCCCAACCAGTGCATGCCAGTGTTTATACTATACTTGCCTGAGTCTCCACCCACTCCTTACTCCCTCCCATATCCTTCTTTTCCCCTTTCTCTCTTTCCTCTTGAATGCATCCATACACTCTGATTCAACCACCGCTTCAGGCAGCGAGGTCCACATCTTTTACCTCTTTTACATCCGTGCCTCGGTATCTTATACTTATGTTGACTTGTAAGTTATACCGACTGTGGGGCTGAGCTTGGAGAAAATAGAACCCTGGACTCAGTGGCAGAGCCAGGCTTTGCAACTGGGAGAGGGTGGCAGGGGCAGATTGGGTGTTTGGGAAATGGGGAAATTTCCTGAATGCCCCATGAATGGTTCCTGACCGCCCCTGTGAATGGCTCCCAATGCTTGCCACCCCGTGGGGCCTAGTTCAGAATTTCTATTTAAGCCTGACAAAAAGTTTTGAAACACGCAGATGTCTTCTATGCTTTTTGGCGCCCCACATGAATCGGAGCCCCTATTTTACCTGATAATCTCAAGCCTTTTCGGGGAGCCAGGCCGCCAATGGTCATTATTGGCATTACCTACAATTATATCTCTCCTTATACCTCCCACTCTGGCTCTCTTCCCATCACTCTCAGCTCCACTCATCCTCCCTCTGTCCCTCCCCAGCCCTGCCCACCTATTACCTCCACCACTGCCCAGACTAACTTATACTGACTGAGGCTAAGCTCAGAGATTTTAGAAATTAGAAACCCTGCAATGAGTTATATGGAATGCAGGGCTGAGCTTGTAGGGTTTATCAAAAAGAAAAGGAACAAAAGGAGCAGGAAGAGAAAATTAGGTAAGGGATGGAAATAGTAGAACAAGAGACACAGAGGGTCAATAAACATGTCTGGCCATCAAAAATGGATACGAAAAAAATACAATACAATTCGTATTTACAAGATCTGCCAGTGGTATTAGTGGTGGGCAAGTAGAGAGTTGAGAAATATTGATGGTGGCCAAAGTTAATTTGCAGAGACAAAGCCTATGAAAATTGCTTTGTTTCTGTATAAATCTGAACATTGATAATTGGGATCTGGATTTCACTCTCCGTTTGGAATATTGGAAAATGTATTGAATGTGTATCGAATATAATAGATATTCCCCATCATGATGATGGCAAATTAACCTATCTATAGTTTAATACATTTTCCATCACAACCAACAATCACCAGATTAAAGTACCCAAATGACTACTTGGTGGTGCTCAGACTGGACACCCTACTATCACCGGCAATAAAGAGAGGACATAAAGTCTAGTCAAATGAATAAAGAGACCAGACTATAGCAAGGGTTCAACTCACTCCATCTATCGAATACGATGTAAACCAGTGTGTGGAAACTGCCCCTTTTAGTTATGATCGAAAGGTGACGACATACAATTAATTTTGCACACAAGTGCATACACACATACTTTAAAGAATAAGAACAGCCTATTATAAGGCCATATCTTTCTATGCTTTTGGAAAAAAATCAGAGAATTAAAAAATAAGTAATTCAACTGCTCCATCTGACCCTTCAGCAGGAATCAATTACAGACGACAGGAACGTAGTTTGACATGTAGTCAGCAATTATTCCGCATAAAGATTCCAGATGCTATAACAGAAATTCTAAGCCTAGAAATTTAAAATGACAGATTGAGGCATACATGTTAATGCTTTCACTAATCTTTCAATTGCAATAATTTTCTTTCGCGTTTAGAGTGCAGGACAAAACTTCATGAGAGGACCATCCCAATGCATTTGCCAGTCACGCAAAGCAGGGTAATCACGCACCACATCCACATGTCTGTTCAATTCAAAAGAATGAAAAACAACTTTCATATCAATGAAAACTGCTTCCCTTGATATGTACAGGATAATTATAGTGCATTTGTTCAGTTTTAGGAGACTTGACTTCTGTTAACATTTGCAGAGGTCCTGCAGTATTGGGGATTTCAAGTTTGCAAGTCAGAATTTTAGAAGATTTATTTAATTAATTTAATGTAAGACTTAGGAACGATTACAGTACGACATTGAAAGATAATATTAGTAGGATTAAGATAGCACATAGAACCAGTCTTGAGTATGAAGTGAATGGATTATACATTATATACATCTCAAGCACTCTGAGACACTAACCCTGCATGGAGGGCGCTGTATAAGTGCAAATTGTTGTTGTATGCAATTGTATTGACTTGAAAAAGTGCTCAATTTTATAGAATGCACTAATTAAAAGTCATGATTGGTCATAGAGTACTTTCGTCTCAGCAGAGTACAAATGTGTTTACTTTTAACTGGGTTTAGATTAATAGCACCTAAACTGCTTCAGCACTTAATCCAGATAAATATTCCATCGACTACTGATGGGTTTAGGTACTGCAGGTGCCAGGCACAAATAAACGTTCAAAATGTCATCAGCATCTATGAGATTAATTCCTATTTCAAGTGGAAAGATAGTTGGCCAAAACATTGCAATTTTTGGAACAATACATGCCCTCTTCAATTTCCACTTAAACAGCCAGACAGGATATCAGTTTAACATCTCATCCAAATTCTGAAACCTCTGACAATGCAGCCCAGTACTGCACTGAAGTATCAACCTGACTATATGTTAAAGATGAAACCCCCAACTTTGCAGACACAGTCACAGATAAATACAATACAATTTACACTTATATAATGGCATTCTTGTCAGGAGGATGTCCCAAAGCACTTAACAATTCTGACTGGGCACTGAGGGGGATATAAATAGGTGTTCTTGTTCAACTGGACACAAAGATTCTGTTCTTCCAAATAGGGGCTACACAGTTGTGTTGTAATATGTAGAATGGTTTCATGGTTTCAGTGAAACAGTACAGGTGTACAGCCTCTGTGGGCTTCCACCCGCGGAGATCCTGAAGCAGCCGTCCAGCTGCTCCATGATCGCCTCTCCTCCACCTTCAACTCCCCTCGTCTCCCTGAAATCCAGGACCATCTCCAATCCCACCCGATCTCCCTGGTACAACAACCATCTCCGCTCCCTAAAAACCAAAAAACGGCTGCTCGAGCGCAGATGGCGGAAAACTGGCCTGACAGTCCACCGCCAACTGTGGCTCAAGCATCTCCACAGTTACCGCCGTTCTTTGACACGAGCAAAAACGGCATTTTACTCCAACATCATCTTGGAGGCTAAACACAACCCAAAATCCTTTTTTCCACCACCCACTACCTCCTCTGTGCCCCCCTCAGGCCTCCTCAATCTTCATATCCAATGCCAAGTGCGAGGAGGTCATGGACTCATCTAAAATTCACAAAATCCGCCAGGCAGCCTCATCCAACTGCCTCTTGTCACCCACCACCACACCCTTTCTGTCCCCCTCAACATCATCTGCTCTGACCACCACCCCCATCCTACATTCCTTCCTCCCCATCTCTCCCTCTTCCCTCTCACCCACCATCACCTCCATGAAACCCACCACTTGCTGCCTGGACCCCTCCCCATCAACTTGCTGGTCACCCAGCTCCCCCTCCTCTGCCCACTACTGGCTGACGTCATCAACCAGTCCCTCTCCTCCGGATCAGTCCCTGCCCCCCTCAAAACTGCTGTCATCACTCCCCTCCT